CTACGTATTGCTACTTGCCATTGCCGAATCGCACTCTTAGAAAGTGTAGAACAAACTGTATCTGCCTGATATCAGATAAGTCTAAATACCAAATTGTTTGGCATTATCTTCCGATCATCAGACGAGGTATAACGGAACATATACTCGGTTTCCCGAAAATGGGAAATATTCAAAGGCAATTGAAATGCCTCTTAAGTTGTAAGATATTTGTTTGCTTTCACGTTTTATTTATTTGATTTGTATATATATGTATTTGTATAAATTATCAACCGATGTATAGAGTTATAAATGTAATTTATATTATTTGTTAAAGTAGAATAGAAATATTAAATATGGAAACTAAAATGGCAATTTAAAATCTCATTTAATCTAGATTGGAACATTATTTCCAATTTTCTCTTTGATTCGGTTGAACATAACTCATACTTAAGGACAAAATCTTTGACCCACAGTTGTTTCATACGTTAACTATGATTGAAGGCTGTGACAGAGTTATTGCCGTAGCAAACTTTGCAGCTTTGGCAAACAGTGTGCGTGCATAAAATGATGGCAATTACGCCAAAAGCTGGCGATGCTGATACCTAAAAACACTACGTGATGTGCATTCGAAAATTTTGCATACTCGTATTAAATGTATCGATTCCTGCACACTGCGGAGGAAACTTTTTTTTAGCAATTTAACTCTTTTTTTATAAAGATACTAGCTAATGGATATTCTGTTCAGAAATTCTTTTTGGTTTACTTCTTAAACTACTTGAGAAAATAAAATGCAACAAGTGGGCTTTGCCGGAAATCACATTAAAGGGATAATTCGAGTAAGCTCTTGAGAGCCGTAAAAGTACGTAAGCTGTTCTACGAAGTTTCTGAAAATCGGTAAAATTGAAGTGGAATTAAATAAGATTTGTTATTTTATTTTCCGAGCAAGAACAGCAACAGACTAATATGGGTGAAAATGAGCTCGGCTTTATATCTTCTAAGAATTCTTGGTACCACACGGCGCATGAGTGCCTCTTCTGGAGCACGTGTTTATGTTGTTGGGACAGATATAAACTATTGTGGAAACATATGTCCGCTTACTATACAAATATTTGTTGTCATGCTAAAAGAGAGACGAATCCATTTAAGGAGAGAAAAAGTCGTAATAATCAGCTGTTTTATGTAATCGAAGGGCTATAGTATATAAATATAAACTTATAACTGGGGGGAACGTATTTAAGTACTATAAAAATAGTCAAAACTCTGTAAAAAATTCAAGCTACACTTTCTTAATGAAAAGGCTTAAAGTGTTTAAGATGCTAATATTTATCAAAAGCATTTCTTTTTACCATTTCTCTATGAAGAAAAAAGCTTTTGTGCCCAGAGAGGACATGCGCAGATTTTGATAAATTAAAAGCTTTAAGACTCCGAATTCCTAGACAGAATACCAAGTTTCAGACCACAAAAAAAGGTGTTTTGTTTCATTTACATATCTTAACTTCTTAGTTTCTTTATTTATTATTTTCATTTTGAAAAAAATACTAATGTTCTTATATTTAAATAAATATTAATACAAATCGTAGTAAGTAAAATACGTTTAAGTTACAGCGCTCTTCTGGCATAGTAAAAACTACTTTAACCTAAAGATAAGTCCAATGCCAGCATATGAACCTCTATGCACAGCCCTCTTAAAGATTACTTGGAACTAATTTAAGGATTTAAATATAGTCATCATTGTCTGGGCCGTGCAATTTGGTTCCTCGTTCTCCCGCTCCCACTCGTTCATCTTGGCCTGCATGATCAGATCCTGGGAAGGACCCGTACTCCAGTGTTTTTGCCTTGTCTTGGCCGTCAGACCCACGTCGCCTTCATCGTCGTAGAAGTTATCAGAGTCGTAATCAGTATCCTTAGCCATATCCATATCGGGATATTCGTGTTCCTCAGCATTCCTTGGGATACCATGCTTCAGATAGAATGAGTTAAGCAGGCTCTCGATTTTCCAGGATGGCATATCGGAAACCATCTTGACGGCGATCTTGCGACGTGGCCTTTTCAGAGTCTTATGAGGCCTATCAGCCAATTCGAAGTTAAGAGAGGTTTTCAGCATTTGCTTGGAGGCAGTGAGTTTCTTGAGAATCGATCTATAGAGTCCCAGAAACTGGTCGGGTTGTTTCTTGGCCTGTGGCAAAGCTTTGGGGTTTTCCAAAATGAAGCGATTGAGCAGCTCCTTAGTGCCCTGTTGATCCTTTTGTGATTTCAGTAGCTCAACTGGAGAGAGAGAAAATATTAAGTTAATAAATGATTCAAAAGGGTTTTGATTTTTTATAGGAAACTTACCTTTCTCTTGGCTTAGTCCGAGTGTGTTCTTAAAGACTCCCCAGTCATCCTTGGGTGCTGTCTTGGCAGGATTCTTCTCCGCGTTCTTGATGTACAAAGCCAGGCAGCTTTGCTGGATGGTCAGCAGCAGTAGTATAGCTTTTCCCAACTGCATGGTGATGATGTGCTTCGTTCGGAGTGTGAGACGAATGTGATGTCCTCTATGGCAAGGAGCTGCCTCTTATACCCACTTAAGGGGCTGCTGATCCGCGTTAATTGACATAACCGCACATCAGCGTTGCGTGGCTGCGATAATCAGACAAAGGCTGCAAAGGCGCTTGACACTCGAGACATCCGGGGCGCCTGCGCCTGCGCCTGTGCCCGAAGCAAGGAGTCAAGACAGGACGACATGTGCTTGATTGAACGCCGTGCTCGGCGATGCTCTTTTTTTTCTAGGGGAACACTTAGCGCGAGCCGCGGCAATTAAACGGCAAACTGAGCATACAAAAATTAGTGCTTACGCATCTTGCCTCAGACGACGGCCAGGTAGCCAGAGTCCCAGCGGCGACTACTGGCCAATGTGGGAATCAAAGTGCGTAATTGAGTCGCTTAAAAGCGCCAAATGGTTTCATGAATGTAGCAGTGCCACCAGGTAGACGCTCGCCTTTCAAATGCGAAAGGAAGTACAAATAAATCCTAGCGCCAGCCATAAACGGATCAACTGCGCCGATCTCAATCCGCTGGTCTCTCCGCTGTGCTGCTCGACAAGTTTTTCGCTAATTATTCCTGAATGCGGGTTTTATTGATGCAATATAAATAATGCAAATGCAATTTGCGGTGCATACCGACAAGGGGGTGGTTCTTAAAAAATACTAGCCCTCTCTGCCATCTGCGTATAACCGACTTTAAATGTCGGACGGGTAATTATGCAATATTAATAATTATAAAAAAAATGTATTAACTTAACATGTGCTTTAAAGGAATTTTGTTTTAAAAGAATAAATATAAATAAAAATTAAATATAAATAAAATATATTTTAAAATATTGTAATGCCTTTTATATTATTTATTTTTAATATACATTAAAGGTAAATAGTTCCTTTGTCAATAAGTGTTTAACGCATATTTGATAATGTCTTTAATATAAGACTTATATTTTTTATTATTACAACTTAAGACTAAATTTACAATGTAGTTTTCGGTTCTTCAAAGAGATTATGGGAATTAAATTCTGATTAAAAAATAATTTTATACATTTTTCTGGCATTTAAATTACTGTTTCAAAGTCTCATCATTCCAACTTGGAGAATTTTGTAATATTTAACTTTTACTCTTTAAGATTACTGAGACGTGAATTATTAATGGATGTTTCCAACGACTTTTAATGTAATTTTAATTTTGATAAATAAGATAAAAAAAGGTAAAAATATGAAAGAATGGCTTTGCTTTTTTGTTTTTGTTACTTCTTATAAAAATGTTGATCTCAAAACTTTATTAATCCACATAAAAAGGGACAAAAGGTAAGGTCACGTAATACAATTTAAGCCTTTGCTTACGTTACTTACAATGAATGACTACTTTCATATCTACATTTACAATTCATGTGAAATCAGCATGTAAATAAGTAGTGTGCCATATTACAATGAAGCAGTGTGCCGTGTTGAAGTGTCCAAGCAGTATAAAAGCAGTCATCTGAGATTAGCACGGACACTAACCGGAAATGAACAGCAAAATAGTTCTAATGAGGATATTTTTAGACTCAAACCAAGAAGCTGTTTTTGAAATATCAGGACTTAAAAAAAACAGGATCAGGTCTTTACCCAAAATATATCTTAGTATTATTTATTTCTATTATAAGCCAAATCATCCTGTTTGTAGTCATACACTAAGCTACAGATTTATATATTTTGTATTTAATTTTAAAAGCATTTAAAAGGAATAATAAAATTTCCTAATATCAAATGCTTATCAAAATATAAATTTATAACCGAATTTTCTGATCGTATTAAATCTTTCCCATATACAGCCTTATCTAACAACAAACATTTTGATTTCTGTCACATATTGATGAATTAAAAAATATATATTTTTCCACAAACACCGTAGTTATAGAAACATTTCTTGTTTATTATTATTCTGAAGAGCCGGTAATCGTTACTAAGCCAACATGCCGAAGGTAATATTCCAGAAGTACAAGAAGATGGTCAGCAACATCGACCCAAGTCGGCATACTGCCAAGTTCAAGGAAATAGATGAGGCACGCCGCTCGCAAATCTCGGAGTCGGATTTTACAGAAGAAATGGGTGCGGAGTACGAGGAGGAAATGGAGGAGATGAAATCGAGTGAAATTAGTTTGTCTGAAGGAGAACCTGCCCTTAATATCGGCAAGATCGATCTATCATTTCCCGAGACAGTCGAGGAGTTTGAAAACAGTCCACAGTGCTATCCTCCCTCATATTATACGCTTTCACCCAAGGAACGTTTACTCCTTCTTTATGCTGAGAACTTCCGGAAGCAATTGGTTCTCTCTTACCCGAAGAGACGAGCGATGGTCTTGGCATTGCCCAACGAATGCAAAGTACAGGTAATGTCCGCTCAATCTTTCTATAACCGGTTAACTGGTTTGTGATAAATTGCCCATCTTAACCAACTTACAGAAATTCGTTTGCACCACCATCAGGCCAACGGCGTTTATTTACACGCAACTCATATCAAGCGTTGAGGAAATTGCCAAGTTTGTCGCCGACTTTGTTCAATATGAACCACTAGAGGACCCAATAAATTTGGTAAGTTTATTATGCCATTATTTTCTTAGTCTCGAGCTTATGTTGAAATATACAACTAAAACTAAACTTTTATAACATATTTCTGTTGATTGATACATCACAATTACCTAGCACAAGCGAATAGTATTTGGCGTTTTTAAGTGTTTTTTTAGTGTAACGAAAGAGCAGAACGTGGCTGTAATAGCTGTTTTTGGTTATATTTCGCTATTTCGATGATTATCAATTTGAATACAGATAGACAGGCAATTTCATTACGAGTCTATCGGTGTATAACATTCCATATTCGGACAATTATTGGCTTAGTTATGGGTTCAATACTCTCACCTTGAGGAAAAAAAATGGAGGAAACCAAATTTCGAATTTTCGATAAGGGGTACCATCATCAAAATTTGCGAAAAATGGCCGAAAATGAAGTTTTCCAGATTTTAACGCAAATCGATTGGGGATCAAAGCAATCAAATTACGAGCCCTACGAGGTATTACATTCCTCATTTGGACCCTTTTTGGCTGTGGTATGACTAAAAAACTGATTTTTTTTGCGCCCAAAGTCAAGTATACCTCTTTTGAGAGCAAAGAGCCCAGTTTTGTTGCCGTTTCTTAGCTCTAACTTTGCCAAAATACG